AAGGGGCAGAGAAGACAGCCTGGGGGGGGGGGGATGGAACAAGGGACAGAGAAGACAGCCTGGGGGGGGATGGAACAAGGGGCAGAGAAGACAGCCTGGGGGGGGATGGAACAAGGGGCAGAGAAGACAGCCTGGGGGGGGATGGAACAAGGGGCAGAGAAGACAGGACAGCCTGGGGGGGGGGGGGGGGGGGGAATGGAACAAGGGGCAGAGAAGACAGCCTGGGGGGGGGATGGAACAAGGGGCAGAGAAGACAGCCTGGGGGGGGGGGGGGGGGGATGGAACAAGGGGCAGAGAAGACAGCCTGGGGGGGGGGGATGGAACAAGGGGCAGAGAAGACAGCCTGGGGGGGGGGGGGGGAATGAAACAAGGGTCAGAGAAGACAGCCTGGGGGGGGGGGGATGGAACAAGGGTCAGAGAAGACAGCCTGGGGGGAATGAAACAAGGGTCAGAGAAGACAGCCTGGGGGGGGGATGGAACAAGGGTCAGAGAAGACAGCCTGGGGGGGAATGGAACAAGGGGCAGAGAAGACAGTGGAGGGGGGGGGACTGGAACAAGGGGCAGAGAAGACAGTGGAGGGGGGGGGAATGGAACAAGGGGCAGAGAAGACAGCCTGGGGGGGGGGGAATGAAACAAGGGTCAGAGAAGACAGCCTGGGGGGGGGGGAATGAAACAAGGGTCAGAGAAGACAGCCCTGGGGGGGGGATGGAACAAGGGTCAGAGAAGACAGCCTGGGGGGGGGGGATGGAACAAGGGTCAGAGAAGACAGCCTGGGGGGGGGGGGGGGAATGAAACAAGGGTCAGAGAAGACAGCCTGGGGGGGGGGGGGATGGAACAAGGGGCAGAGAAGACAGCCTGGGGGGGGGGGGGGGGAATGAAACAAGGGTCAGAGAAGACAGCCTGGGGGGGGGATGGAACAAGGGTCAGAGAAGACAGCCTGGGGGGGGGGATGGAACAAGGGTCAGAGAAGACAGCCTGGGGGGGGGGGGGGGGGGGAATGAAACAAGGGTCAGAGAAGACAGCCTGGGGGGGGGGGGGGGGGATGAAACAAGGGTCAGAGAAGACAGCCTGGGGGGGGGGGGGGGGAATGAAACAAGGGTCAGAGAAGACAGCCTGGGGGGGGGGGGGGGGGGAATGAAACAAGGGTCAGAGAAGACAGCCTGGGGGGGGGGGGGAATGAAACAAGGGTCAGAGAAGACAGCCTGGGGGGGGGAATGAAACAAGGGTCAGAGAAGACAGCTCGGGGGGGGATGGAACAAGGGTCAGAGAAGACAGCCCGGGGGGGGGGAATGGAACAAGGGGCAGAGAAGACAGTCGGGGGGGGGGGAAATGGAACAAGGGGCAGAGAAGACAGTCGGGGGGGGGGGAATGGAACAAGGGGCAGAGAAGACAGTCGGGGGGGGGGGGGAATGGAACAAGGGGCAGAGAAGACAGTCGGGGGGGGGGGGGAATGGAACAAGGGGCAGAGAAGACAGTCGGGGGGGGGGGGGGAATGGAACAAGGGGCAGAGAAGACAGCCTGGGGGGAATGGAACAAGGGTCAGAGAAGACAGCCTGGGAATGGGGGGGGGGGGGGGGGGGGGGGGGGGCAGAGAAGACAGCCTGGGGGGGGGGGGAATGAAACAAGGGGCAGAGAAGACAGCCTGGGAATGGGGGGGGGGGATGGAACAAGGGGCAGAGAAGACAGCCTGGGAATGGGGGGGGGGGGGGGGGGGGGGAACAAGGGGCAGAGAAGACAGCCTGGGAATGGGGGGGGGGTGGAACAAGGGGCAGAGAAGACAGCCTGGGGGGGATGGAACAAGGGGCAGAGAAGACAGCCTGGGGGGGGATGGAACAAGGGGCAGAGAAGACAGCCTGGGGGGGGATGGAACAAGGGGCAGAGAAGACAGCCTGGGGGGGGATGGAACAAGGGGCAGAGAAGACAGCCTGGGGGGGGATGGAACAAGGGGCAGAGAAGACAGCCTGGGGGGGGGGATGGAACAAGGGGCAGAGAAGACAGCCTGGGGGGGGATGGAACAAGGGGCAGAGAAGACAGCCTGGGGGGGGATGGAACAAGGGGCAGAGAAGACAGCCTGGGGGGGGATGGAACAAGGGGCAGAGAAGACAGCCTGGGGGGGGGAATGGAACAAGGGGCAGGGAAGACAGCCTGGGGGGGGGGGGGGGGGGGGAATGGAACAAGGGGCAGAGAAGACAGCCTGGGGGGGGGGATGGAACAAGGGGCAGAGAAGACAGCCTGGGGGGGGGGGATGGAACAAGGGGCAGAGAAGACAGCCTGGGGGGGGGGATGGAACAAGGGGCAGAGAAGACAGCCTGGGGGGGGGGGGGGATGGAACAAGGGGCAGAGAAGACAGCCTGGGGGAGGGGGGGATGGAACAAGGGACAGAGAAGACAGCCTGGGGGGGGGATGGAACAAGGGGCAGAGAAGACAGCTGGGGGGGGGATGGAACAAGGGGCAGAGAAGACAGCCTGGGGGAGGGGGGGATGGAACAAGGGACAGAGAAGACAGCCGGGGGGGGGGGGGGGGGGGGTGGAACAAGGGGCAGAGAAGACAGCCCGGGGGGGGGGGATGGAACAAGGGGCAGAGAAGACAGTCAGGGGGGGGGATGGAACAAGGGGCAGAGAAGACAGCCCGGGGGGGGGGGGGGGGGGTGGAACAAGGGGCAGAGAAGACAGCCCGGGGGGGGGATGGAACAAGGGGCAGAGAAGACAGTCAGGGGGGGGGATGGAACAAGGGGCAGAGAAGACAGTCAGGGGGGGGGGATGGAACAAGGGGCAGAGAAGACAGTCGGGGGGGATGGAACAAGGGGCAGAGAAGACAGTCGGGGGGGGGATGGAACAAGGGGCAGAGAAGACAGCCTGGGAATGGGGGGGGGGGTGGAACAAGGGGCAGAGAAGACAGCCTGGGAATGGGGGGGGGGGGTGGAACAAGGGGCAGAGAAGACAGCCTGGGAATGGGGGGGGGGGGGGTGGAACAAGGGGCAGAGAAGACAGCCTGGGGGGGGATGGAACAAGGGGCAGAGAAGACAGCCTGGGGGGGGATGGAACAAGGGGCAGAGAAGACAGCCTGGGGGGGATGGAACAAGGGGCAGAGAAGACAGCCTGGGGGGGGGGATATGGAACAAGGGGCAGAGAAGACAGCCTGGGGGGGGGGGGGGGGGGGGGATATGGAACAAGGGGCAGAGAAGACAGCCTGGGGGGGGGGGGGGGGGGGGGGGATATGGAACAAGGGGCAGAGAAGACAGCCGGGGGGGGGGGGGGGGATATGGAACAAGGGGCAGAGAAGACAGCCGGGGGGGGGAATGGAACAAGAGGCAGAGAAGACAGCCTGGGGGGGGGGGGGGGGGGGAATGGAACAAGGGGCAGAGAAGACAGCCTGGGGGGGAATGGAACAAGGGGCAGAGAAGACAGCCTGGGGGGGGGGGAATGGAACAAGGGGCAGAGAAGACAGCCTGGGGGGGGGAATGGAACAAGGGGCAGAGAAGACAGCCTGGGGGGGGGAATGGAACAAGGGGCAGAGAAGACAGCCTGGGGGGGGGAATGGAACAAGGGGCAGAGAAGACAGCCTGGGGGGGGAATGGAACAAGGGGCAGAGAAGACAGCCTGGGGGGGGGGATGGAACAAGGGGCAGAGAAGACAGCCTAGGGGGGGGATGGAACAAGGGGCAGAGAAGACAGCCTGGGGGGGGGGGGATGGAACAAGGGGCAGAGAAGACAGCCTGGGGGGGGGGGGGGGGAAATGAAACAAGGGGCAGAGAAGATAGCCTGGGAATGGGGGGGGGGGGGGGGAACAAGGGGCAGAGAAGACAGCCTGGGGGGGGGATGGAACAAGGGGCAGAGAAGACAGCCTGGGGGGGGGGGGGGGAATGGAACAAGGGGCAGAGAAGACAGCCTGGGGGGGGGGGGATGAAACAAGGGGCAGAGAAAAACAGCCTGGGAATGGGGGGGGGGGATGGAACAGGCGGGCAGAGAAGACAGCCTGGGGGGGATGGAACAAGGGGCAGAGAAGACAGCCTGGGGGGGGATGGAACAAGGGGCAGAGAAGACAGCCTGGGGGGGGGATGGAACAAGGGGCAGAGAAGACAGCCTGGGGGGGGATGGAACAAGGGGCAGAGAAGACAGCCTGGGGGGGGGATGGAACAAGGGGCAGAGAAGACAGCCTGGGGGGGGGGATGGAACAAGGGGCAGAGAAAGACAGCCTGGGGGGGGGGGGGAAATGAAACAAGGGGCAGAGAAGATAGCCTGGGAATGGGGGGGGGGAACAAGGGGCAGAGAAGACAGCCTGGGGGGGGGGGGGATGGAACAAGGGGCAGAGAAGACAGCCTGGGGGGGGGGGGATGGAACAAGGGGCAGAGAAGACAGCCGGGGGGGGGGGGATGAAACAAGGGGCAGAGAAGACAGCCTGGGAATGGGGGGGGGGGATGGAACAGGCGGGCAGAGAAGACAGCCTGGGGGGGATGGAACAAGGGGCAGAGAAGACAGCCTGGGGGGGGGATGGAACAAGGGGCAGAGAAGACAGCCTGGGGGGGGGATGGAACAAGGGACAGAGAAGACAGCCTGGGAGAGGGGGGGATGGAACAAGGGACAGAGAAGACAGTAGGGGGGGGGGATGGAACAAGGGGCAGAGAAGACAGTGGGGGGGGGGATGGAACAAGGGGCAGAGAAGACAGTAGGGGGGGGGGGGGATGGAACAAGGGGCAGAGAAGACAGCCTGGGAATGGGGAGGGGGGGGATGGAACAAGGGGCAGAGAAGAAAGCCTGGGGGGGGGGTGAAACAAGGAGCAGAGAAGACATCCTGGGGGGTGGGGGGAGGGCCGGGGGAAGGTAAAGATGGAGGGAACCAGGACCGGAGACAGACGGGGGGGGAAATCAGAAAGAGGAAGGCAGGAGCCAGGTACAGGCACACGTCTATACCGGGGTCTACTCATACAGTACAGCAGTGTCCGGGCTCTGTGTACGGCACTGACATCACAGCACATCTGTAAAGGTCTCTCCTCCTCCTCACCCCAGAGACTCCAGCGTGTCCAACAAATCTGCCTCCATGCCGCCAGCAGATCTCCTCCAATCACCACATACGCTCAGCCTGCAGTCAGTCATTCACCTGCTTCCGGTCCATCAATGATACAGGTCCGGGCTGTAGCGGCACTTCCGGAATAAAGGTTCTGGGTGGTATTGTGTTTCGCACTCGGTGTTCAGTCAGAGGCGGCCGTTTCCCTCCTATAAACCCGTGCGGGGGATATAACCGAGTCCCATAGTCTGTTCCTCTTCCTGAACTGGGAGATTCCTTCATCCCTCACCGAGTCAGTCTGCCAGATTAGGAAGGGGAACACCCCAGGAGGACTCAGACTGGAGGGCTGACTGTCAGCTTTTCTGACCTGGTAATGGTAACGGGTAATGGTCACCTCCATAACATACTGATCATATAGAGCCCAATCTAGCCACAGCCAGTTATCAACCAGGGTGCCCTCAGGCTTCTTCAGGGGTGCCTTGGCAAAATGATCAAAAGTTGTATACAAGCCAGCAGGTGGAACCAGGCTGCCTTTTAGTACACAAAGCCACAGGTTTTCATTGTGCACTTTTATGACCTTCAAGTTGCCAGCATCCTAATAACCAATGACATTAACAGTTGATAAGGAGGACGTTGGGTGCATGCACGTCATCCTTGTTTGGTCTTCCCTGCCCCTCTCCGTCAGCACTGGGGTCACATTAGCAGAGAGTGAGGGAGAGACTGGAATACTAGTCAGTACCAGTCTGCAAAGGTGTATTTGCTTTGGAAGAATAAATCACCTCTAACATTGGGTGTACTGGATGTGTGTGTAGAATAGGTTTTTTACATTTTAAATTGTGCCTTGCGATTGTGCATAATTTTAAAGGTTGCCTTGACTGAAAAAAGGTTGAGAAACACTGGGCTAGAAGGAGGGGCAACCCTGAGGACTGGGGACACCAGAACAGATAACACGCAGTAAACTCAGTCAAAACAATTCACTTCAATAAAAACTTTTTCTTAAAGGAGCTGCATCCTGCTGTATTAGATTTGAAAGATAATATACCAGGGCATGGCCCCTTTAAGAAGAAAGTTTTTTTTTTGGGGGGGGGGGGGGACGTCACCATGAAGTCAGCTTGTTCCAAGATAAGGTGCAGACCAAGGTGCCTTCAGTTGCTACGTGTTCACTGAGTAGTGAAGACCTACCTCGTTCTCTGGCAAGTTTTTTTCTTGCAATTTCATTCGATTTGATTTTATTGCAGCGGCATTCTTGCCCATTGACAGCACGTTGTTTAATTATTCTTAAAATGTAACTATTTCATCATAAAAAGGTTGTTTCTCAGAAAAACACTGAAATGAAGCCTACTAAATCTAACGAGCAGGGCCCTCTGTTTCCTCTTGTACCAAATTGTATTGTAACTGTAATGTCTACCTTCATTTTGTAGAGCGCTGTGCAAACTGTTGGCGCTATATAAATCCTGTATAATAATAATAATAATAATAGCTAAAGGAAAGGAAGGAGGTATCAATGCCCAGCCTGCAGATACCCCAACCAAGAAGACCAAAAGACTGAAGTGTGCTCGGGCTTTTGTGCGAGGCTACACCAGAGCTGTTTTTGCATGCTTTGGTGTCAGCTGTGAAGTCAGGGGCCCGTACCCAAAGACAGAAGACTGGTCTGGTACGTAATGTGCATATTGATAGATAACTGAAACACTTTTATTGGATGCTTTATTCCCATTGATGACGGCTCCCATTCCCATATGTACAGGTCTGTCCGTGTACAGGGGACAATGACTGGCAGCCAGGAGGAGATGATGAAAGACCCCCAGAGCACACATAGCTCTGGGGGTTGATTAACTATAGACCAATAGGCTGTGCAAGGTCATTTTCTCCAGTGCTTAGTAAATGAGGTAAAAATGTCACTTTCCAAAGAACTTCCAATCACATGCAGAGAAAATAATATAAAAAACAGCATTTTTGCTTGCAAATGATAGTACATGAGGGCAACTCTGCTGACTTCTAAGCTCTGGAGCAAAAGCACACAATCTATTTGCCTTCAGTAAACCAACCCTTGTGCTGCCATTTTTATGTCAATTTTAACCCTTTCACTGTTGGACCAATTTTTTTATTTTTTTTCATTTTTTCTGCATACACTACTTGTTCATTTTTGTCTTTGAAGCATAAAATAGTTTCTGAAAGCACTGAGGCCTCATTCCCAGCTAGCCTATGTCAAACGAGCATTTTTCCAAGCGTTTCTTTGTGTGTGAGACGCATAGGACACCCTACTGATTTTCAAGCTGATCTCCAGCTTTAGTGTCAGTTTAAATTGCTCGGGCCAAGCTGGCTCAAACAGACTATTTTCCCCCCACTAACGTGCAACTGTTGGATGTGCTGTATAGACTGTATGTAGCCTCAGCTACATACAGTATAAAGCATAAACTAGATTCAAGCTTTTTTTTTTTTTTTACTTTTTGAAGTGGAGAGGGATTAAACCCCATCAGGTTTTTTTTTTTTTTTTTTCTTGCTGTCTGCTCCTAGTAGGGAGATTTCCCCTCTCTTTTTGTCCTGGTGGCCATTATCACAGAGTGAAAGAAAATCCCAGACTTTGGGTTGTCACCAGAACAGGAATAGAGGTGATATCTTCCAATGGGGACACTAGTTCTGGGATCCCCTTCCTTTGGGGAGATTTCCTCTCACTTCCTGTTTTGGGCATGGGAGAGGAAGTGAAGGGAAATCTCCCCAGTTAGGACACACATGGCAAAAATAAACTTTACGGGGGTTATAACCCTTCTTTACTCTGTTCAAAATTAAAATAAATTGCCCAGCTAGTATGGTGGGGGGGATGATGGACACTTAATCTACAGGGGGGTGCAGCACGTTACACATGGGACTCAGTAGGCGTGTAGTGATGTCCGTAGACACTAGCAAACTGCTACTGCCAGAGAGGTGAAGGAGTGAGTGCTCAGATATTTATTTTTATGGTCATTGTAACCCTTTCACTGCCGGAGATTTTTTTTTTTTTTGCACATATGCTATTTTAGTTATTGTTCTCTTTAAATCATAACATAGTTTCTGATATAATTAAGGCCTTATTCACACCTACATTTTTTTTTCACACAAATGTTTGGGAGATTTTTTTTTTTTTTTTTTTTGATCAGTCTCCTGTCTGATCTCAGGGCTGATATAGGACACACTTTCTGGGCAATACTGGCACTCAACAAAACCTCTGTTTTTCCATTAAAATCACTTTATAATTTTTATTAGCTGGTCTGATGATTTACCAACCCCTGCCACAATGCACAGCCAGGCAGGTGACACCAATACTTCCGGTGCCGGCTGGTTCGTAACTTCCTTTGTGACCCACCCATTCATTACACTATGAAAGGTTATCGTCACAGCGCTGATAATACTTGTTGCCTGCTTCTTGACTCACAGACTTGTAGAAAGTATCACAGCCAGTAAGTCAGGAGGAGTGCCAGGTAACCAGCATTTTTATATGAAGGCCAACAATAGTCATCCCTGTGTTCCTGTCATGTTGGGTTTATTTATTGTCCCTGGCTTTAGTTTTGAACTTTTCTCTCTGTAACTTGATGTTGTATAAATAAATATGAAATGTAGGTGAATGTGCTAAATTAGATTTGTTTTTTTTATTGTAGATGTATACGAAATTTACCAAAGCCACAGCAGGCCTGCCCTAGTGAGCGATACCGAATGTGACGTCCACATTCAGACTCCACCAGCATGTGACGTCCACATTCAGACTCCACCAGTGTGTGACCTTCATATTGAGACTCCACTACTAGAATGTGGCATTGGCTCTGAAACACCACCAGAGTATGACATTCAGATTGAGACTCCCCCCACTGGTGTCCCATCAGCTCCTCCTGTAGAAGAACACCCTGTCATCCCAAGCAAAATAAACCGAAACAGAAACAAACCAGAAGAAGATTAAAGACAGCTTGAGACTCCTCCAAAATGTGATGTTCAGACTGAGACTCCACCAAAATGTGAATTCAACATTGAGACTTCTCCCACTGAGGTGCCAAAGGCTCCCCCTGCAGGAGAACCCCCAATCATCCCAGGCAAAAGAAGAAAAAGAAACAGGAAAAAAAAAACCAAACCAGAACAGCTTGAGACTCCTGTAAAATTGATGTTCAGATTGAGACTTCATCAAAATGTGAAGTCAACATTGAGACTCCCCCCACTGAGGTGCCATCAGTTACCCCTGCAGAAGAACCCCCAGTCGTCCCATGCAAAAGAAAAGGAAACAAGCGAAAACAAGGAAAAAGAAAATGGAAAAAAAACAAAGAAGGCAAAAGAAGACGAAAAAGAAACACATACAGAAAATAAATAGTTAAGATAGGTAGGAAGGTTTTCCCAAGTCATCTTCCAGGACAGCCCACGAGACGTAGAGCACCTCCCACAGGACAATAAACATGTTGCCCCACACAGATTAAAAGGTGGTCCTCCAGGCCCTAGCCTCAGTTATTAGTGTTTTTTTTCTGGACGGGGGTAACATGTTTCCTTGAAAAGGTCTCCCTAGGTCTGACTGGAAGCTCTGTCGGGGGAGACTTACCTAGGGAATCCTTGTCTTCTTGCCCTGCAGCAATCCCCTCCATATAGTGATAATAGGGGAAGCAGCTGGCACAGTCTCTGCCAGTGCCTGGACCAATGTTTGGCATGCCTATGCCAATTTTCTCCCTTATGCCGGTGGAGGTGGGAGCCACGATGAGAAGTGGTGTAGAGCTTTTCTGTGCTGGCCTGGGCTTCCTCCTCGTACGGCGGTGGGGTGAGGCTTCTGCGCTCCATGCTGGCCCCTGATGTGCAGTGGCATAATTTCAGGGAGGTGAGTGACCTCAACACCGAGCGCCGGTGGACGCTGGTTCTGTTCCTCATTTACAGGCGCAAGGGAGACTGTGAAGGGCAGGTGGTCTTCAATGGCAGTGGTGGCTGATTTAGAAGACTGGATCCTGTCGATCCTCTCACAGCTCCTGTTCAGGTGGTTGACTCCAGGAATGCAGGTACCAGCTCCTCACAGGTATTTGGGGTGGGGGGGGGG